GTACTAAATTAGGAATCACAACGCTGTGAACGAGGTACTAGCTAAACTAATTAACGAACTAACTGACTAACTATGTAAGCCCTACCCCCTCTTGGTAGAGCTACTTGATTTATGGACTTTCCCGAATGTAAACTTTTGAAGTGGGCATATATGTATCAGAACTTATATGGTAGTTTTTCAACAGGGCGTCTAACTATAATAGTTTTTAACGAGTGCACGTGCATATGTAAATATACTTATATACACGCGATTAAATAAATCAACTAGCTAAATCTAGGCAAGTAATTGCCATGCTTTCACTTTCAATTTATTGTTACAAAGAAAATTCCCACTTGGAATTCTAAGTCTCAAAGTAGGTACCTACTAGAAATAGAAAAGATTTATTCGAGTTTTCGCAGAACCATTTTCCACACTTTAAACGTTTACTGTTATATGGAATATTTTAATACTGAAATGAAAGCATTGAAATAGTTATGAAGGTAAATGATGATAAATACGCTTTTGCAATAAATTGCTTTGATATTTAATAGTTTAATAAAATAACAGTATGATTGCTCAAATCCCAATTTACCTCCAGCACATTCACGAGAGAGTTGGTAATGGCAGATAAGCAGTAAAGCGAGTTTGTGCTATACTTTAAAACTCGTAAAACATTTACTAGATAGATTTGTGCCTGTGTGTATACATGTTCAGCTAAAAAGTTTGCCAAGTCTTCAAGTAACACAAGCACATACATACACTTAACACATAAATATATTTTAGTTTCCGTCATTCGACTCTATATAAAAATTGCTTCTTTAAGGGTGTTCTTTTAAGACATTGAAAACCAGGAGGCAAAACATTTTTCGGTGCGGTAGCCGAGTGGTTAGCATTGCGTACTACCACTCGAAAGACCCGTACCAACGTCAAAAAAGTTATAGAAAATATATTTTTAACAACAAATTTAGCTAAATTTTCTAATTGCGGTCGGCCCTCAACAGCGAATGTCGACCCCTTCAAGTGTATTTATGTCACGAAATAAAGGCTCCTCATAAAAAAAACCTCAGCCGTTCTGAGACGGCTTAGTGTAAACTGTACATCGCTCCATTTAGTGGAAAAACATCAAGACGCAAAACCACAAATTGGAGAAGGAGCTCGGCCGAAAATCGCTGCAGCGGTTACAAAGCACCAATTATATATATATTAAATGGACTTGAAAATTTAGCAAATTTATTGCCAACATAATAATCCAACAGAGTTAGTTATTCGAGCATGTTATGGTTGCCACTTTCAAACCACTGATGAGGGGTATGATACTTCCTCGTCTTTGTATAAAACGTATGCCATTTCTTACAAAATCATTGCTGATTTTTTGTCGTTTTCTTATGAATATAAGTAAATAATTACACCGTATATTAAAATAAAATTAACGTTGAATTAATTTAACGATTCGAATCTGAAACCCGAGGGGCTCAAATAACCAAACGATGTCATCCCGTAATGTGAGCGAAATAAAGTTGTTAATGTTGGAGCCAGTTTTATATACATTTATTATATCGTTAACAGCACACTTCAATTATATAAAATAATATTGCTAATATATTTACATTAACAACAGCTTATCATTTCACATAAAAACGAAGCAAAATTTATTCTGATAACTGGTTTAACCGTAACATTTCCAAATGTTTCAAGCGAATCAATGGATTTTTTGATCAACATGAAATTTATCATCACTCAGCCTTGTGGCAAATCCTTATTTCTTCTTGAAAGCCACATTTTTTAAAAAAGCACCCTTTACTATAAGTGTGTATTTGTGTATGTTAACAGATGTGGCATCTTCGTGTTTCCTTGATGTTCTCCCATTTATATTTATGACCTGTTGCGTCGTTAACATTCTTATAAAAAGCAGAAAAAGTTGAAATTTTTTAAAAAAGCATACTGACTACATTACACTTGTTATTTTTATCTCAGCTTATTTTTCATTTCTCTACTTTTGTAAGTTGATGATTCATAAGAACCAACCACCTGATGCTCCTTCCGAGGTGACTGACAATTGTTAAGGGAATGATAATTTAATACCGGTAATTTTGCGGAAATTTGCTGTGTGCTGCTCTTATCACACTGATTGCCAGTAGAGTGGCATTCAATTTGAAGTGTTGCTATAATAATAAGAGTGTTGAAATATGTTTAAAATGGAAAGTATATGTACAGTAGTAGTAGGAGTGAGTAAGTTTTTGTAGTTGGTATTAGAAAAATTTTAAGAAGTGTCTTAATAGAAATTTTCAAAGTTTTCGAAAGTCAAAAAGTTTTTAATAGCGAAAAAATGATAAATGGTGAAAGCAAAGTTCTAAAAATGTTTTTTCAAGTACAATAAAAGTTTTTTTCTTAATAAATCGTACAGTTTAAAATGTAAAATGTTATTTAATGCCTGACAAAAGTAGCTATAAGCAGGAAACAACTTAAAATTGTTTGTTAAAAATTTTTGCAGTTCGCATTTTTTTGCAGTCCTTTTGCGTAAAACTATCATCCTGCTTTTTAGTATGTTATGTTCTTAAAAAATTTTCAGGTAATAATGTCGTACATTTTGGCAGCCGCAAGAGTCGAATGGTTAGTTTTGCGCACTAATATTAACATGGCCAGACTAATAGGTCTGACAAATATCCAAAAGTTATAGAATATATTATACGAGCCCCTCGGCAGGTAATGTCAATCAAATTAAACAAAAAGCTCAATTCATTGGCGGCAGGTTTCTATATTTGTTGCAAGAACACATCACAAATTGGCCGACTAGAAAAGCGAATAAAACAAGATGTGGTAATAGAATAAGTAGATAAGCTTAACAAATTTACTAGTGGTTAAAAGGTTGAGAATCTGGCTGGTAGGGGTAATGCTAGGAAAATCTCGGCAGAGATGCGACTAATAGAAGCTTTTAAGAATCCAGAATACTCATTTAGAAAGTCTGCTGAACAACGTTCACAACCTACGAAGTTTACGGAGAGAACACTTTTCCAGCCTGCTAAATGGCCCTAACCCTAATCGTTCTTGTTTATCAAGCGTAACAATACAACAACAATTTCTTGTGAATAACATTTGAAAAAGCAGAAAAAAATTCACAATTTCAATAACAGAAAATCAGGAATGAAATAACATGTTCAACGCGAAATTCGTCTTTATTTTGATGAACCATATTTGACTGAAAAAGGGTATACGCCACAAAGCTGACCATACCATTCTTTTGAATGAAATTAAAGAATAAAGTCTGTCTGCTTTATGTGAAGCCAAATTTGCTTTACTTGAAATTTTAAATTGCCTGAACTGTCGATATGTTGGGATGGATACATTAAATTACTCCATATAAAAGAAGTGAACTAGAAATCAGTGCATTTAGAAGTTGTACTTAGAAAATGTTGCGGGTAGAAAATGTGAGTAGATTTGTAAGTTTTAAGCGACTAGTATACGGAGGAAGATTTTGGGGGGAATCCCAGTGGAAATATATCCGATAGGGCTACAAGTTTTGGGTTGGTGCAACCCGATTGGGTTATATAGGGTTAACTATTTGGTGGCTACAGAAGTTCCAGACTCTGTTTGGCATCTGTCAAACCAAGCAAGTTTTGTTTTACTTAAGAGTCAGGCATTTGTAAAATGGATCGCTGAAGAATCACAAAACCAGTTACCACGATTCTTGGCTTAAGAGATGGTTATGGTGCAATTGCAATTGGGATAATTTAAAAAAAAAATTTGAAGAGAATGGTTCGGTTACCGATTGTCTTCTTTTGCAGATAGACTTACACCTTCATCCATATAAAGTCCGGCTCACACAACAACTGAGGTCAGTTGACCATTGGCCACGTCGTGCACACGTCGATTGGGTGCTTGAACAATATACAGTAGACAGCGATTTTCCGAACTAAACTTTTTTTATGAAACCAGACTTAACAAGTAAAAAGAGGTATTAACGTGAAAAAAAACTTACTGTGTTGTGAGCTCTTTCGGCCGGAGGTGTGCTTAAACCTTTGTAATCTGAAACCGACAACGGCGACACTGTCTATTCGGAGCGTTATAGTCATATGATAACCAACTGGCCTGCAATTGAAGAACACGACTTGGAAAACATGTCGGTTTAACAAGATAGTACCACGTGCTGCACAATGTAATCGAATAGGGCTTTATTACGAGAAAAAGTTGCCGTCTCGGCAATGTCAATTGACTATAGAGATCGTACGAATTGACACCGTCGGATTTTACTTTGTGAGGCTTTGGGAAAGACCGTGTTTATGCGGATAAGCTTTTAATTCTTGAGCACTTCAAAACCAACATTCGCTCAGTTATTATTCAGATACCGTTAAGTATGTGCTAAAAATTTCTCAGGAACTATATCGAATGGAACGAAGTTTATAAAAATACCCTAACTGCTAATTTCATAAAAAATTATTTTAAGCAAATTTCTTTAGGTTTATTTTTGAAACCTTATACTAAAGACGCAACTTCGATGACTTGAATTATTAAGATCCAGTTATTTCGATAATTGTATCTTTAATATTTTTCTTATAGGCCTTGAAATCTCAAAACCTAGTTAATAACTTGGTGAGACGCAATTGAGTATATGCCGCTAGAACTTTGGCGTTCTGGTGGATAATATTTAAATTTTATAATTTATGTATAATATATGAAAAATAAATGTAATTTTTTTCAAATCAGGTAATTTCTAAGGTCTGATATAAATATAAGGCAGGCGCTTCGTAGCATGTTTACTACAAACTTTTAAAGCTTTCCCATACTAGCCTAGATGCAGGCTATTATTCAGAAAATTCACTATGGTTTATTCTTTGAAATGTAAGCGTTACATTCATTCACGATTTACGAAATATGGAAATAATGTAACACATTTCGCAATAACAATAAACAAACCAGTTTTAATTTCTTCTACTTGCCTTATGCCAATCGCATACATTCAAATAGTACGATGATAAATGATAAATTAAATGATTGAAATAGTCATTCCAAACTCAGCTTTCTACGTGAACACAAGCTCCACCACACCAGTATCTCAAATAAAATAATATGGCCAAGTTTTTAGTTTTATTAATTTTTACTTTCTGTCTGGCGTTGCAGGTAAGTTGAAACATAAAACTTTAATTTCTTTATTTAAAATTTTAATAACAAAATTTTATTTTTATTTTTAGCTTGTCAAAGCATTTCCGCAAAATGTCGCAGAGCCGGAGCAGTCTACAGATCTCGAGGTGAACAAGGATTTCGGAACGGAGTTGGCTAAAAGCACAACAACAACAGTACCGGCCACAACTGATGCTGTCACAGATGAAAGCACTGATTCTAAACAAGAAAGCGATTCCGATTCTACTGAAGATTTTTCATATCCTCCATTAAAGTATTACATAATAAAAAATCGCCTAACGCTCTTCACACTTAAAGTTGTACAAAATCACCTAAATACTATTCTAACTGTAGGTCACGAATATACCACCGCCTCATTGAAGGCCCTGAATGAAATGCCTAATAAGACGTCGGATATAAAAGCGAACATAACGCATCTGAATGATTTATTGGCACGCTTGGAGGGGCTAGATTTGGCGAAAAATAATTTTGATGGGTTTCTTGACAAAATTGGTCTCATAAATGGCTTAAAATAATTATATCAAAATTTTACAGAACTCAGGCGTTTTGATGATGATGTGCTGAGCGAATTATATATGACACTCGGTTTAAGAATCGAAGCTTCATTGAAGGAGACCATTGAGAAATTAAACGTAATTTTTCACAATTTCTTCGGTGCATTGGATGAGGAAGAGAAGCAGAGATTTTCAGAACAAGTTGAAGCTTATGATAAATATATATCGCGTGATACGGATTTAGCTAAATTCAGTGATGCGGTGTTCTTGCTGTTAAACAATCCCATTTGGTAAATTTAAATGAAAAAATAGTTATATTGTTTTCAAAAGAAGTTTTTTATATTGATGTTGACCTTTTTAAATAATAGCACCTTATTATGAACACATATCTCATAAAAACCCTTCTTTTCTGCTAATATTTTTCCCAAATATTTTTCCCAAACTGACAACGATCGTTTGACGAAGAATTTATTACATGTTGTTATTTCTTTTGTTTTAGATGCCTATTTTTCTATTTGAAAAGAGTTCAGAAAGGTCTGCGAAAATATTATTCTTCGCCATAATCAAGAAAAAGCTCTGAATTATTACTATTTTTTGGAGATTTGAAAGAAATAATTTGGTTTTAATATCTTGACTGCTCCTGATGTGTTTCAAAGAGATCAGTCAGCAGAGACGAAATAAAAAATATTATTGTATTCTTACCTTTCACGATAATTTACCTCTTCGTCAGAACATTTTAGTGCTTTAGTTTTTTTTAATGTGTAATTTATTTACCGGCACTAATAATTGTTCGAGCTTGCCTCTTTTCCATGGTTTAGCAATACAAATTATATAAAAATACTTGGAGACACGTAACAAACAAATGAAATCTATTTAAATTATCTGAACAAGAAGGCACCAATATAATTTTTGTTAGCTTTTCCCAGCCAAGAAAAATAAATAACTTCGAAAATGTAAAAACAAGTATATCATTGTGTGCACACAAAAAGAAATAAACTTGCTATTTTCAGAGAATATTGCAAGAAAATGTTTAAATGGTGATGAAGAATTTTATCTACTTTCGTTTGACATCGAAATTTACTTTCGCCTCGAAATATGATATTTGAATTATTCTCAAAAATTTACATATTTTACCCCAATGTGCCGCGATTTGTCGCACAAAACGTTCTTCGACGACCACGTACAGTTTTCACGAGAGGGATACCTAAATTTTCAAAATTTTTACCTATGGAGCTCCAAGAGTTTTTAAATTATGAAAAAAAGTTACTGTCTGTAAAATGACAACTACGAGATCGTCACTATCAATCCGGAGAGCTATGATGATATGATAACTAACTTTACAATTGAAGAACACGACTTGGACAAAATTTTTATTTCAAAAAGATGGTGGCGTATGCCACAAAACACGAGAGAATATGGTTTGTTATTGAGAGAAATTTCCCAGCCGTGTAATCTCTCGTCTTGACGATGTTTATTTGCCCACCGAGATCCTATGATTTGACACGGTTGGACTTTTTGTTTATAGAGCTACGCAATGCGGATAAACCTTTAACTGATCAGCACTTTAAACCCAACGTACGTCTAGCTAAAGCTGACAAACCGCCCAACATTTGCAAAAAAGTGATCGAAGTTTGAAAAAATATACGAGACAGTTATTCGAATGAATTAGTGTTTTACATACAATGCCACATTAAAAACTTTATTAAAAAAAGCAATTCCACGAAAACTTTACCCGAAAAACTACTTTGAAACTTGTCACTCATTTACTTAGTTTTCATTTTGATATTTTAATTTTAAAGGATTTTCCGGGAACTGGACCTGGGACCGATTTTTTCGAAAAAACCGAACCGACCTATTCATACAAAATACCTCTGAGGACAGTTGCGATAACAACTCCTAAGTAAAATTGGTGTCTAATAGTGAAGGCTCTCTAACAAATCAACAAATCTATTGCAAAATAGGTGCTGGTGGAACAAGAACGGAAAGTTTTTTTGTAGTTCAAAGTAAAAGAGCAAACATGATATACGTGTAGGTCGCATATTTAAAAATTGCTGCCACGCTGTTGGATGAGTAGCTGCATTGCTAGTAGCCGATTTCGGAAAGATTTCAGTAATGCCCAGGGGAATGCGAGCGAACGAACTTCAAGAATGCGGGAAATTATATACTTTACGGTCTTTACTGAGACTCATCAAAATATGAGAGTGAATTTGAGTGGATAAATAACAGCTCACAAACCTTTTGCTGAAAATAAGAAATGGTGATTTCCCTAAACTGAATTAACAGCATTAGAAACAACTGTTTTGGCAGTGGAAAAGGTTTATAGCTACAATTTACTCAAGTATAAATAATAATCTCTATAAGTCCGCAGAATGGTTAATCGAGGGTGACCAATTCACGTCCAACAAAGTTATGCAGAAATGTAATCGAGGTTACTAAGCTAAAAAGTTGTTTTCAATGACAATCCATATTTATTCACCATTCCATCAAAGTATATTTCAAAATAACCATGAATAAAGGTCATGGTCAATTTCTTATTATAGCAGGAAATTTGGAGCTTCTTCCCCCATTACCAGTTGTATGTAGAATGTTCCAGCGTACGCCTGATGATTCTAGCATCTTACAGAAAACCAAAAAATATTGCCTACAAAGAAATTTGAGATAGGTGGGGAACTTAGGTTTCTGAATTTTATGTAATTTTCGTCTCTATTTAAGGGCGTAAGCTTCTACATTTAATAAAAATATCATAGTTATGTCTTTTTAGAATCTAGTTAATTCTTCTTCTTCCTTATTGGCGTTGGCACTGCTTACGCGATTACAGCCGAATCGATATTAACACGCCACTGTCTCTTCATTCGCAGAACTACGACATCATATAACTCGTACAGCTTATTGTTCTATCGTCTGCGGTACTCGCCGTTGCCAATACGCAAATAACCATAAATCGTTCGCAAAAATTTTTTCTTGAAGATTTCTAGAGCCGACTCATCAGACGTTGAGATCGTCCGTGCTTCCGCACTATATATTAGGACGGGAACGATGAGTGACTTGTAAAGTCTGGTTTTCGTTCGCCGAGAGATAGCTTTACTGTTGGTACTGGTGTCTAGTTAGAAAAAATTGTCTATGACCTCGAAGATGAGATGAGATGACTGCCAACTGCGACATGGTCGCATAGGCGATGACTGTTTTTATGATAACAGGATATATTTTGCCTTGTCCTCATTTGCTACCAGACCCATACCCTTCGCTTCTTTATCAAGGCTGGAGAAAGCAGACTCACGGTGCGGTTTTCAAGCCAAATATTATGAATATAATCGTACACCAACTCCTGATTACTCTTATAGAAATTATACCTTCTCTTTTGAGCTCTGCAGCTCTTATTATTCTCTCCAGAAATAAGATAAGGAATAACCCTGTCTGAAACATCGATTGGTATCGCACCTCTTTCTTTTTTCCTCTGCAAATGCGTCTGGTTTCCCTCTTCAACTGTCGTCATCTGTCCAACCTACACACGTGTTGTGGTCGATCGCAAGGTTGCGAGGGAGGCAGTTGTACGTAGGGAGTTTGTAATGCCGTCCCACAGCCCTTCATGTAGGGTTCCTAATGAGTGCTCTCAGAGAACAGGTGTGCAAGTCGAGTAGAAAATCGCTCGGCAGTCTATTGTGATTGCAGCTTTTCAACGTGGAACCTTCCTTGAGTTTGTCCGAGTCGATATTAGGACTTCGGAACGTACGCATATCTAAAACACTAGATACATTTCTTTCAACAACCAGAACATGATAGATCTGGTTGAAAGTTTTTTGATCTGGAGACAGCCAAGTAGCTTGATGTATTTTTTTATCTTGGAATCTAGTACTACAGACAACCATATTTCTGGCCCTGGCGAAGTCGCTCAGCCTCAACCCAGTTGGGATATTTCGTCAAAGAGGCTGAATTTTCTGACTGTTGTGCCGAAGATATATTCTCTGTTTACCATGGCGTTGAAGTCGCCAATCACGATTTTGATATCGTGGCGGGGGCAGCGTTCATAAGTATGTTCAATGCGCTCGTAAAAGCCATCCTTGGGTACGTCGTCCTTCTCTTCCGTCGGGACGTGGGCGCAAATCAACGATATGTTAAAGAATTTCGCCTTGATGCGAAAGGGACCGAACATTCTTGTAATCCTTACAACATTTGCGGCGATCATCCTAAAAAAGGGTGTATCTCATCCGAGGCATAATACAATTTTTCCTTGGAGTTTATTTTTTATGTGCTGGGTGCGCAGCCTTTCGCACAACCGCTTGGAATTCGCCTTCTCTCATTAGCTCCTCTCCAAACGGAGACTTGGTCTAAGTCCGGAAGTTGTGAAATGCTTCAAACGTATGCAAAACAATCTTCGCTTGCGTAGACTTATGCACATGGCCCCATCCCGCTTAATTGATTAAAAAAATAAGCAAATGTTTTATCTACTCACCTACATATTCAAGCAAAAAAAAAATATATAACAATAATCTCCTATCATTAGAATTTTAGCAATTAATATTTTATTTGCAGCAAAAAGTAAATAAGCTTAGCAGTTATTTTTTAAGCTTCGTACAGTAAAAGACATGTTTAGTGGATGTATTTGTATGCGTGTGCTGAAAAGGCGCCCAGCTTCAAAAAATAGCTGTATACGTATATGTATTATATATATAGACTTAATATTTAGTTAATATTTATTTATATATAAATTTTATCTTTAAGAATTATACTTTACAAAATTTTACGCATAACCGTTATAACGTGCAAACTTTTGTGCCTCAGGCATACATATATAAATTAATGCAAATACATTTGTGTAATACATGTATGAATGATTATCTACCGAATAATTTTCTTTTAAATAACTTAATTTAGTTAGGAAGTTCTTGTGTTTTTATTATTTAATTTACGTTATTTAATTAACTTTAATTAGCACATATAATTATATATGTATATATTTATTTAATTAGCACAATTAATGAATTAAATTAAATTTGTTAAGAAATATTTATTTTAAATATAATTCATTAACATTGTTACATATTATTTTAAATATATTTATGTATTTTTTTTATATATTATTTTAATTGTTTTATTATTTTTTTCAAATAATATATAAGCACATTTTTAAAAATGTATGCTTATCTACAAAATTCAATATCATTATATTTTTACTTTAACTCGCAATTATATTAGCAACCATAATTTTGGTAATTTTCTAATATTATTGAATTTTTTTTGTTTGCATATTTTAACTAATTTTGTTTCAGAATTTGACGCTTTCTTCATACACACATCACTTTGGATGATCACTTATTATTTTTTTATCAACTACATGTGTACATAAATATATGTATATGTATTTATAACCATTTTTTAATTTTTTCTAGCTAAATAAAATATGAATAATTTTCTGTTATCTGTTTTTATTCTTTTGCCCTGCTTAAGTATATATAGCTGAATACTGACAAGCGCTAATTTACATCATAAACTAATGCGTACAAATTTAATTTATATCCGACAGTTTAATTATTTATTGTTTCCGAGTACTTATTTATGCATTATTTAATACATATAAATAATAGAATATATCATTTTTCCAAACACTTTTTATATTGATTACTTATTTTATTATTGATTATATATTAATATTAATATTTTTTCCAATTGAAATGTTAATTACATTTACAGTTATCGAATTGAAAATCGCCAAATATCCACTAATTAGAATTATCATAATTGTCACTATAATTTCAGCAAATTCGTTTGTTGCTTTGTGCATAACCTCAAGTGAGCTTATTATTTAGCTTTAAAGAAAAAGGTTGTAATTCTTAGTATTAGTACACAAAAAAGATATTGTTTAAAAAGTAATAAAAACAC